ACACTTCAAAAGTCTTTTAAAAGTACTTCGAAAGTTCTCATTTCTCCAACAGTAGATCAGAGGATTCCAATAGGCGTTCAAATTTGCAACCAAATAAACTGTGTACATCTCGTGCGTGGTGATCTGTGCTGAGGTCAGAAAGCGGAGGCACACGACAACCAACAATGGGATAAAACTTACAAGACAGACCCCTACCACAATGGCCACGGTCCGGGCTCCTTTTATTTCACGCTTCATGGCGAGTTTTCCATGCAAGCTGTCTTCCTCCTGAATTTCTCTTCGCTGTTTCCAAGCAATTATAATAATGTAACGATCGATGTACGATGTCATGGTAACCACAATGGGAACGACCAGTAATGATACCACCAAGAAAACAAGGTATGATCTGGCGGATGCTGACTGTAAACTGAAGGGCTCGTGATGACGATCGAAGCACGGAGAAAAACGCCTGTAAAAACTCCTTAAAAACTTTCAGCCCATCTGTCTTCAACACTTCGGGAAAGATCAATGCAACAGCAATTCCCCAAAGCCAAACTACGACGAAGGCAATCGTTGCTCAGCGATTAGTTACTATCGTGTGATACCTCAAGGCGAACTTGATGGCGATGAAGCGTTCCACACTGATTAAAGCGAGATGCAGAATGATGATGGCGTTGAAAGTAAAGCTGACCGTTGACGCGAAGCTGCATAATACACGCGGCGGTGGTGTCTTGTCGACAATGATGTAGGCAATATGTAAAATGGAACCAACGGTCAACAAAACGTCCGCCACTGACAAACTCACCAGAATGGCGTTAGAAGCACTCTGCAGACTTGAAAATCTATAAAATGCTCTGACCACAAGATAATTTCCAAAACTAGTGGAAATTATCACAAGGCTATAGATCACAGTTAAAATGGCTTTAATCCACGTAGGTGCATCTTTAATCTCAGGCTCCATTCTGCGAGAGTAGTACCAAGGTTCCCAGCTTCTAAGTTGGACAATGTTTGTGTCTTTGATAACTCTGACGGCGAATTCGAGGGGCAATGTTTGTGTCCGTTGATAACTCCGACGGCGAAGTCGAAGTAGTAAAGTTCGCACTTACCGCGCATGACAAGGATCCTTTATCTGAGCACTTGAACTCATGTTTCCGCCACATGAATATAAGGTGTAGGAGAATAAACGACTTCAAAGACGTGTTCAAAATTATTTGTCAATTTCTTCTCAAATGTGACTCTGCCACAGTTTTCACTCAACAAAACCCTTTTTTGAAATGAACATAAAAAATAAAGGAGCATAAACTGTGTTTGAGTTACAACCAACTAATTTTGCCTAATTACGCAAAGGGCGACAACTCGTCCAGCCGTGTGTAAAGGATTAATTATATGACGCACTGTGCTGTTATTATTGAAATGAGGGATTTCTAATTGTTAATGGCTTGCAATCGAACAAATCCTGAGAATCTTAAGTCCGTTTTACACTTCTTTTACATGCCTGTCATCTGCTACGTTTTGAAATCATACTCTGTGGAGAGTTAACAGTTTTGCATGTGACTTAATAAAGAGCGAAATATGGCTGGAAACGTAAAGTGCAGATCCCAAGCAACATCCTTTCCCTACATTTTCTAACTAACATAAATTTACCAGGTTTGCATATTCAAACACGTTCATATTTTTAAAATAACTTCGCTATATCACTRCAATAACATGCAGGCAGTCAAAACATCAGTTACTCAGTCGTTGTTCTATAGCCACCTCTGTGATATTTTTGTTATACCTTGGACTATTGAATATTATCAGCTCGAAAGATTAATGCCAGCCCTGCGGCCAAATTTTCTTCAATAACACGCTAATAGATTTTAATTATTTTCGTTACATGTCACCTTAGAATTAAATGTTTACTTGAATAGTGTTTACTGTTATTCGCGGAATTAATTTACAGGTTTTTAACAACGTTGATACAAGTAAAATTCTGTTTTATAGCAGGAAACACGCTTTTAAAACGCCAATTTCAAGAGGTGTAAATAAGAGCAAACTCACCGACTTCAGCCTGTCAAGATAGACGCTGTCTTAATATCTAACAAAAGCGTTTAGATTTCTAAGATTATACTTTCAACGACAGAGGGGTCGGCCTAATATCAATTCCTGCATTTATAATTTTGGAAGAATATTAAGCGTGTCCTAGTTATAGGCTTTACCCAACCACGCTTCTATATCTTGAACATCCGGGAAATAAGCCTTTCCAGAATGCACGCGCTTGGGTTAACGTAACTAGGGAACGCTGGGAGCATGAGTGAAAACATATCGGAGGGTCACGTGCTTACTGCTAAAAGACCGCCACTATTTAAGAAGCAACTGATAACGGTTCAGAAACGTTGAAAATGTTAGTTCACTGAGGTAAACATCCATGCGAGTCTAACTTGATATGCATTAACGTCCTGATAATATACGTGCTCCAGCAATATTACCTTTCCGCTTTTAAATTATTTCTTGACATTTGGAACAGCCTTGATCTACCTTAATGTTAAAGAATGTGACTTCTCGAACCCTTCCCAAACCTAATTAATCTCGTAAACGCATTACACTCTATTTTAAACTCACAACTTTTTATCAAGTTTCCTTTTAAGATTGAAGCAATTTCGATAAATATATTGAGCTTATTTAGGGGAGAATCGGACAAGGAAATGTTCAAACAGTACTTTCCTAGCGAATTTATCTGAAATGAATTACCAGTAGGGTAGGGCTACTATTTTAGGAACGATTTTTGAATCAGTCTTTGTATTACAAAGTAAAATTCTCGTTGAAATTCTCGTTGAATCCTTATTGAAGAGAGTTAATCTTGATAAAGAATAGACCTTTTTCGCTTGGGCGGTTTGTTGTCCCATTACAGACCACGTGATATTCTCTAGAGAAGGTTTATTTTTTCCATCTAAAAATTATTTATTCATATACACGCAACTATTTGAAAATTTGAAAGGAAGAATTCTCAAGAGTATCATCACATGGTCTGAAATGAGGCAACAAACCGCCCAGTCGAAAAAGGTCTATTGTTGGAATTATGCAAAAACTCTCATGCATGCTTGTCGCTCGTGAGTCTTGTGGCGACTTTGGAGATTTGTCCTTGTCTTCATGCTTGTCCACCGCGTGTATTTATCGCCTTCCTGTCTTCCACAACATCGTATAAAAATTGTTATGTTCTAAACATGCTGTAAGCCTGCATACGAGCCTAGTGGCCCATCAGGCCGGAGCTTATCCGGGTGTCTGTGGCATGGAGCGACTAGGAGTATTTCTACTCCCCCCTGGATGGGATGCTAGTCCATCACAGGGTTACCCCTAACGTTATGCTCGCCAGTAGCCATTTATACACCTGGGTGGAGAGAAGCACTGTAAGAGTAAAGTGTCTTGCCCAAGAACACAACTCAATGTCCCAAGCCAGGGCTTGAACCCGGACTGCTCGATTCGGAGACGAGCGCACTAACCATGAGGCCGCCGTCCCTCTTTACATGCTGTGGACTGTTTAAATTGTTTGGCAGTGAAATATTTATTTCATATGTCATAAACTGAGAAGAAATAGAGCCATCTTATCTTATCCTTTTCTTGTGGTTGTTTTAACTTTGGGCTTCTGCGTTAAACGCGGCACTCAAACATCGCATAATGATCCAGTACGTGGGTGGTAAATCGAACATGGCCCAACTGGTGTTACGGGAGCACTGACCTAGACATTAAGTTGTTGTTCGCCCCGTTTAAAATCAGGTGTTGGTTTGGGGTCAAGGATCCTATTCCGGATTTACGATTGCGAGTTGTTTATAAGTTTTCATGTGCAGGCTGTAGTGCCTGTTATGTTGATGAAAGCAACAGTCACTTCGCCACTTGCATCCGCGAACATCTCTCCTCTGACAAACATTCCCACATCTTTAAACACCTGAGAAGTTCTGAAAATTGTCGCTCCCTTTGTTCAAAAGATTGCTTCAAAATTCTCGACTCTGCTTCCGCAAGCTTCCAATTGAAAATCAAGGAAGCCGTGCACATCCTTTGGGAGCAACCGTCTTTAAATTCCCAAGTCAAACATCTTAATTTATCCCTTTCATACTAATTAATCTCCTTCTTAGCTTAAATAGTTTTACCTTTTTTTGGTTCGCGCCTTCATCCCTAATTATTCTTGTTAATATCTCACTTGTTAAACCATTTATTACATATTTTCATTTTATTTCTCACTGTACAACTGACGATGGATGATGTCTCATCCGAAACATGTATATTCTTCATTAAAAAATAAACTTCAAAAACA